CGAGGCTGTCACCAGCACGGCGTCGACAACCCACACGGAGGACCCGCCCGCGGGACGCCGATCCGTCCCGTCTTTGTCCACCCCGGGTTGGTTCCAGGTCAGCGGGAGGTTGCGAGGGAGAGTCGAGAGCGGCAGAGGGGGGAAAATGCAGTTCGCGGGCGCCGCGACTCCTCGACGGGGACGGGCAGCACGACGAACTCGCTTGTGGGAACCGTTTCTGTCCCGTCTTTGTCGACTGTGGCTTGGAGCGTTGGGCGGATCAAGGAGGGGAGAGATCGCGCGCGAGCGACTCGCTCGCGGGACGAATTTTCGTCCTCTCTTCATTGCGCGGGACTTGGGAGGTTGACCAGAGACGCGGCGGAGCCGGGAGAGGCATAGAGCGAGAGGGGGCGGCGCCGGGAGGGGCATAGAGCGAGAGGGGGCGGCGCCGGGAGGGGCATAGAGCGAGAGGGGGCGGCGCCGGGAGGGGCATAGAGCGAGAGGGGGTGACCTTCGCCGCAAGTAGGTACGTCCAGGCCGTCCGTCCCCGCGAGTCAGAGACCACCGGCTCCCGCGGAGCCGCCGGAAGAGACAAGGACAACACGACGAGCTCTGCTCGCGGGGCGTCGTTCTGACCCATCTTCGTCTCCCGGGATCTTCAACGCGTCGCGGGGGATATGTGCCACGGACAGGGAGCGGGAGAGCCCGCTCGCGCGAAGGCGATCTGTCCCGACTTTGCCAGTCGCAGCTCGGAGGTGGCGGACAGGCGGTGGAGGTATCGAGGAGTGCGAGAGAGCTGCAGGATGCCGCTCTCCGGAAGACAGTACGTCCCGTCTTTGTTCGTGATCGGTGAGTCGAGGGAGTGCAGTCAGTCGTCGTCGTAGCCGCCAGAGTCCGTTGCGCGAGGGACGATGACTTGTCCCATAATCGCAGGCCCGGGGCCACGGCACACGACACGCTGGCCGTGACGAGAGGGCGGGCACGCGCGCCGTTCATGGGGAAGGAGGTACGTCCCGTCTTTGTTGCCCAAGGATCGAGTCGAGAAGCACAGGTCAGCATCGAAGCGGCAGAGGACAGCACGATGATACCACTCACGGGACATCAATGGGTGGTGTCTCTGGTCGGGAACCTCGGTGGCGGCTGAGCGCAGCGGGGGCAGACCAGTGTTGTGCAACGACGACGCTTCCCGTATTCACTTTCCAGAGACGTGGCAGAGAGAGTGGGCAGCGTCGACGTTGTCGAGGGCACGATGACCGCGGTCGCGGGGTGTTGATACGTCCTGTCGTTGCCAACCGGAGGTGTCGACACTCTGGCGAACGGACTGGGTGTCGCGCCCCTGTTCTGCACGATGACCTCGCTCGCAGGGAGCCGATTCGTCCCGTATTTGCTGAAAGGAAGGTGTAGGCGCCTGAGGGGGATGGCTGTGGGATCGCGGCGGCGCGCGTGAGGTACGTCCTTCATGATCACCAGACGTAGATACAGTCCAATGCAGGCGTCGTGTCGCCAGCGGAAGTGGGTCCCTGGGCGTACCCCCGTATGCTGCTGGCGCCGCTCACGCGACGTCAACGGGTCCCGCCTTGGAATATACAGCTCGGCGTTAGTCAGAAATCACTGTAGAAAAGTCGTAGGAACTCACGAAAGTGCGGAGGAGAATGGGAAACGGCATGCAAACCGTTTCTAAGGAACGACACGCGTCACTGATGAGGTCGCGCGAGTAACAGCAGATGATGGAGTGAGCAAGATGCAAAGCGAGTCGGCGAGTTCTTAGCGGCTCGACTGTCGATTGCAGTCTCGGAGAAGTACAGCGGTGTCGGCCAAACCAGAGACGTTGTAGCGGCCAAAGGCCGCTCGTGCGACGTCGATACGTCCCATTTTCGCCAAAGAGTTGACCCGGGACAGAGAGAATGTCGGAGGAAACCAGTGGCAGAGCCGGTAGAGCACTTGCTGCCACGCGAAAGCCTCGAGAAACGCGAACGCCACTCGCCACACCACTGTCTATATCATTGGGAGGGGTCTAATGTGTTTCGTGTCAGTTGCAGATGAAACAGAGTCAAGATGTGGACTTACCGCAGCGAAACAGCACACATGCGATCTCCACCATGAATCTTGCGGGAGGTGCTTGTCAACAACTCGATGGAGCCGCACGCACAAGGGGAATGCCACGATAGAGAATGGGGAACGACCATGCACGCAGCATGCCACATCTCAGAAGTGTCTCTCGGGAACACGATGCACGCCCGGTACCTCGTCATGAGATATGAGCCGAAATGCGCATAAGCGCGGGGAGAATTGCATGCCGTGATCCTGGTCGCGGGACGCCGAATCATCTGCTCTGGTCCTGGACGACGCGAGCAACGGCGGAACATTATCTCAAGCCATTCCTGGCAGGCACCGGCACAATACATTTCATTCTCGTCTACGAGATAAATAACTGAGATGCGATCAGCGCATTGTCATCAGCTAGTGATGGGAAACAAAACACACCAATTATCCTATGGAGTCGAAACAGTACATCGAATACCAAGCAAATCCGTATACATCAGCAGATCCCGCGGAACCGCGACAAACGCAGCACGGGATCGAGGAAACTTTGCAGTAGCAGATAAGCGATGTTGGTGAGGGGAATTTGGCCGGTTGAAAGACAGAGAAAGTGTGGCGATTCCCCAGCCCTGGAGGGTACGTGCTCGTACGGAGACCAGCGGCTGCATCCGTGCACGCTCGAGGGCACTGAAGGGCGGGCAATGAAGCAATAGTCCGGGGTATCTTGGCGAAAGCGTCTCGCAAAGCCGCACGCGCAAGGTGAGCTCGCATTGCTCTGGAGCCTGGCGTCAGTGCTCCGACGTGCGGTACGAGCGCAGATGCCTCGAGCGGAATAGGGACGTACGCGTGCGTGATTTTGTCCTGCGGCGTGTGCCCTTCTCCAAACCCGGTGTTCACTACCATCCCACACCGCCGCCGCGATATCCAACTTTCCTCTTGTGTAGCAGATTCTCTGCATCGTCAGTTGCTTGTGCTATAAACGCGCCCGCTACGAACACAGTGAGTAATCAGCGACTATCTCGTCGACGCGCATCGCGAACAGACATACCCCCAGAACTCGTCTTAAAGTGCACTTCATGCTCGTTACAACTTTGTAGATGTCGGCTAGATAGGCTCCTCAGCGTCGCAGGCGGATGAAAGAGATTGAAGGCGACGGACTGAATATCTCGACCACGTGGGACGCACTGCCACTCCTGCATCGTCCAATGGTGATTGCGATCGCCCTTATCTCTCGGCGCTCGCTGCTCTCGCAAACGCGTCTCCCCGCCGACTGCGGATGGGAGCATTAGCACAACTACGGCCAGAAGTTAGTATGCTTTGTAGACATACTTTTCATTTTCTCCACCACATGTCGGAAAAGGCATGACCGCCGCGGATTCCGTCAGAAGAGACGCGAGTCGGACAAAGGTCGAGGGGTACTGCAGTGGAGACCCGTGTCGAGTGCAGACATGTCAAGTGCAGAATATAATGTGAGAACAGAACAGTGCCGATTGCGAGAGATGAGCCTTACCTTGCACATGGTCACAGCTGAGCACAGGATTGGAGAGGACATTGGTGAGGACGGGAGGGTGAACTAGCATAATGTGGGCATAGAGATGGCCCAGGCAGGACATTCGCGACAGGGAACGGTATATACGGTCCGTCTCGTAAACGTTCCTTTGCGGTGACTAATCCCGAGGACTCCGGAAGTCAGGGCCACACTCGGCTACCACAGTGCTTCCCTGAGAAGCCACGGCTGCGTAGCATCACTATGCGGCTGTGGCTTCTTAGGGAAGCATTTCGGCAGGGAATTGCTGGCCCTGACCAAGGTGGATCTGGAATTTGCGATTTTAGGTAACTTAGTATTTCTCCATGAATAACTCAGAATGGGTGTAAGGCCATTCAGGCAATCCCTCAACAATATGGTCAGAGATCCCAAATTGCACACTCTCATGATAAATCCCAGTAGTGTATATTACAGCTGTTATTGAGGTGTTGAGGCACTCTGAGGATGACCTAACCTGTTTGATGCCCAGAAGAAGCTGGACCCTGATCTCGGAGAAGGGTTCAACTTCTCCAAGCTCAGGGGCTGCTCCGATCAGTAATGTTACAGAGTAGATCTACAGTATACAGATCGGAGAGAAATCCACACCTCGCTCCGACTCCGGAGTGCTGCATCTAAGCGGCGGTGGCCTCGCCGTAGAAGTCGTCCGACTCTGTCCAACAGTCCGTCGGATTCGGACAAGTCTCGATGAGAAGTGGCTCGTATTATGCATCAACTGCATGACTTACAGACTAAGGCTGCTTCTGCAATGTTCATTCTACCTCCTGGAACCTCTCGAGAGGCTAGCTAGCTCCTGCGAGGCAATTGGATCATCTGTGAGTGCACATGCAGCTCCGTGTTCAGCCCGCCCCATCCGATAACACAAACTAGGGCAATTTACATTTCGACATGATGCAACAAACAATGCGATTACGCTTCTGCTCCTACGCGCCACGAGCGAGACGCTTGAGAGATGGATACACACGCTTGAAACATCAGTAAGTACATGAGCGTCGAGATGAAGTGTGTGGCATGCGACCGCGTGGAAGAGCGTCGCGCCACAAATGCTCTAGGACCCGTACGTCTTCGTTCTCTCCCCGCGCCGTGGCCCTCGACCCTCAACGCATCCCGACAATCACGCCTGCACGCAGTCGCGCATCTACTGGTGGCGTTTTAGGGACCTTCTTTCACTCAGGCAGTTCAGCTATGTACTCGGACGGACAATCATCTCATGGAGCAATGCACAATTGCTGCCCTCTGTTACCGATGTACTCGCTTGTACCGACTCTGTACCGCGCCTGCGTATGTTGTATTTGGTCTTTAACGTGGATACCTTTCGTGCTGGCGTCTGCTGTGCACTTTGCGCGGCACTGCGGTTGTGAATGAGAGGTTTACGTCGACTTGCAAGTTGATGTTCAAGTTCAAATCTTCGGCGGCGAAGCGTGAGGCCCAGGAGCCGTTCGCAGGCACCGAAGACATTTCGGCCGAGTCACGTCGTGCAGGGAGACATATAGCGTGAGGTTTCAAGTCGAGGAATGGGTCGACGAGTGAGGTTGGTGCAGCATGCTGATGCTGCTATATTCTGGTGAGGGACTCGGATACTTCATGCTGCTGTCTATGGACTGCAATAGTGTGGTCAAGCCCCAGCACAATGGAAGTGGCACGCTGTTCGTTCGGTGGACGGTCTATCATTCGGACACTCTGCGTACAGACAAAGCACTATCCCGGCGGTTGAGTAACCTCGCGTCCGAGCGTTCACAACTGATCAATGGCTCGGACATCTAATCTACAAGGAAGTGGACGTCCGAGGCAACCAGGAGGTCAGTCAACTCGCTATAGCTGCTTCGCTTCGCGAGGCAGAACGCACGCGTACTCGCGATACGAAGTGCGAGATGCTCGCATAGATAGGATCTCAGGTGGACAGGTACTGCGTTTGCCGAGCGAAGGAGGTTACAGCAGTGTCCGTTCCGTACGCTATGCGTCTGGGAAGCCGAAGGTACGTATTCCCTTTTGTACCTCGCAATTGCACATCAACATGTCCCTGTTTGCTCCAGGACGGCAGTCAGAAGGCTTTGATTTCGTTGGCGGGATTTCGCATCTGACCCCTAGCTGTAGCTACAACGCGCTCAACTACGAGATACGTCGTCGACATGCCCTAGCACCTGAAAGGCTGGACAGGATGCCGAACGGCGAGTGGCAAACGAGACGTAAGTCCGGCGTGCGGGCGCGAGTAGGTACGCGCGCTGAAATGTTTCATACGGCAACCCGTTAGCCCGCGACATGGAGCGAGCGTCTCCGCTTGGTGTGGAAGATTCCTGCAAATTTCACCGGGGCGAGCAGACGCTTCGAAAAGCTTGGTGAGTCACGGGAGATATTACCCGCGGATCCAAGCTAACGAGCGGGGCTCGGGGTTTGCTGAATTTCAGGAGTTTCCACGACGATGGAGTCAATGTGTGCCGGTGTACGAGATATGAACGAATACGCGCGGCGGTGAGTAACCTCGAGGCAACAGAATCAGCGTCAGTCGCTAATGGAGCCTCTGTAGGTTCTCCCAGTTATTCACTTTATTTTACTTCCGGGGCGTGTAAACTAAGTTCTGACTGCCTACGCTTGGGACGGGCTGAATAGAGAGCAGGTCGAGGTCAGTCGGAAGCAAGTGAGACGAAAGCACGAAGCGGGGAACAGCACTACACTGCTGTCGTCGAGCTCCCCTCCTTCCGAAGCGAATTGGTTAACATGGCGTCGACACGAATAACGCGAGCGGCATCCAATTTGCGTACATTGCCGTCGCGTCGCGACACGGCGCGGCGTTTCCCCGATCGCAAGTTTTCAGCGCGAGAAGCCGCGCGCGCAGGTTCACTCGGAAGATAGGGTCGTTCAGTCGCCAGAAACCGGGTCTGGGGTGCGTCTGAAAGGTATATAAGCAGCTCGTCTCCTCGTTGGAATTTATCCACCGCCCCTTCGTGTTTTGCCCTCTCGCCTTCGCACCCTCCTCTTTCTATTGTATGTTACCCGTCTATTCGATGGATTGCTATAACTGACGCTTTCGATGTCTTTCAGGTGCAGCAGTGACTGCAGTATGCCGTGACAGAAGTGTGTCCGCGCTGACCGTACTACCGGTTATGCCGTCCTAGTACGTTCCGCGCTAGTTGTATTACAATGATGGTTTTTCTTACGGGACTGTCTTGCAGCGCTCTTCGTGAGCACTCCGTCGTGTCCAGCGCAGTAGGTCGTGGCTTGCCTAGCCCGCAGCGCACGTCGAACACGGTATATTGTCCCGTGTCACTTTCGTTCTATTGCTTTGCTTACGCGCTGTCATCTCACCGCAGGCTTTGTGCGCGTGTCTCGCCTGGATGACTACTACAGGAAATGAATCAGTTTATAAAGGTGCGCTCTATTCTTGCGTGACGGACGTGTTGCGTGCCCCGTATTGACCACACGATTGCTAGGCGATTGTCTACTACAACGAGCGGCGCCTTTAGCAGGTAAGAGATGACTTACGGATGTATTCAAATAGGCGGTAACTAATGTTCTAGAGCAGCCAGTTCGTTCACGACCGCCGTCCACGATCCCGTCATGACGGGTCCGAAACCGCAGACTCTAGATACATTGTATTCATGTCGGGTAGACACACAGGCTGCTAACGCTACCTACCCGACTGCTCTAGCACACGACGCAGGTAAGCGGGCCCTCAACGAACACGAATGCGTAACGTACCGCTTCTGTAGTGAGACTGTTAGCCTGGTCTCAAAGGCGGTGTTTTGCTGGGACTGCCGTTCACGGTCCCGTCATGACGGCTATAACTACATACAGTCTAGGTATGCTACTCTGTCTAGTGCCGGTATTCCAAGTGCTAACACATGACTGTAGTGTGTAATCCGGGTATGTGTAGTGCTCATTGAGTAGAGGTAACGCTTGAGGCTGCGCGTCTGTCGGCAGGGAGAGAACGCAGGTAAGGACGTTGCGATGACGTAGTGATTGTAAACACAGCATCCAAAGGCTGATTGTATTTGCCTAGTATGCGCTAATCTACTGTAGTGTACACAGGAGTAGAATGCCGCGCAGACGGGTGAGGTCGAGTCCCCGTCCTGCTACGGCAGCGCCGGCGGACTGCGAGAGCACATGTCCAGCGTGCTTGCTAGCCCTCACTGCCTTCCGCGTCCACAGCAGTGCCTTGCGGTGTATGTAGTCCCGTGCGGAGCCTGAAAGTGATGGGGGACACTGCTCCGGGGCAGGTCGCGGTTTTCGAGCATTCGCGCGGGAGTGGGGGAGGAGCCGGCTGGGTGGTTGCGGGGTGCTCAAAGTCGTGCCGGAAGGCAGAGAAGGAGAGCGGGCGATGGACTGGGCGAGCGAACGCGGAGCCGGTTCCCGTTCATGACAGGACAAGCCATCCGAGAGCGGGCGACGGGACAAGCGGGAGGGCGGCGGGAGGAAACAAAGTCGTTCTAGTCAGGCAGGGCTTGTTGTAGCGTAGAGATGATGAATACAAGACTTTACCTCTGCGATTACCCAGACCACTACATCATTATTATACACTCCCGCGCCGGCGCCATCATGTTCTCCTCGTACGCAGATCTTTCGGCGTTGCCTCGTCCGAGGGAGGGATCAAAGTCACTCTATTCACGCAGGGGTTGTTGTAGCGTAGAGATGATGAATACAAGACGTTACCTTTGCGATTACCCACTACAGTCCCGCGCGTCTTCGAGTAGCCCCCGACCGTATACGCAGTGAATTCGCCATCTTGTTCTCCTCGTCGGCGTTTGCGGCGGTCGATTGTCACGACATTCGCGTGAGGAGTGCGCGCAAATGTGAGATGGGCGATGTTCCACAGAATACGCACACATTCGTAGCTGGCGTCGTGTCGAAGAGTAGACTGTAGCTCGCTGCCGCGTGAAAGAGATCCGATAACGAAACGTCGCGCTCGCGTCGAGCGCAGACAGTCGACCAAGCAGTCGTCGTCATCGGTGCCATGCAAAGCCAGCGTCCGAGCGAATGCGGAAGTATATCTGCCCGCGGGATCTTCCCCCGGGCCTTGCCGGCGATCAACATCAATACAAAAATCTGCAGATCTGCGTTGTCTGGTCTCTGCATCAATGTCGCTGGTACTTGTCGACTCGCTGATGGCCATAAGCTTGGGGGGCGTGCTGTGGAAGGTTGGTGGACGGGGCGGGCAGCGTGGAAGGGGACATCAGATTACGACAAAGGACAAGTGTATGTATGAATAGTATGGTAACTGATAGAGCAAGATGCGCAGGAATACCATTACATTACAGCACGACGGAATCGGGGAAAGAGAGAATGGGTATTCGCAGATCCCAGCCTCCACCGGGTGCCACAACTTTGTGTTCACGACAAAGAAACCCGCACCGAAAAAGAAACTCGCCATCACGACATCTCCGCCCGCACCACGCGCTTCGTATGCTTCCCGGCTCGCCTGCGCTCGTTATGCGGCGTGGGCCGCTTCCACGACTCGTCCAGGGGCAGCTCCTCGAGCTGGCCCGGCTCGTGCTGGTGCGGTACCTGCACCTGCATCGGCGCGCGCTGCGAGTGCACCGGCAGCACCGCGACCTCCTGCACGTACGGCCGCGGCGCGTGCGGGGGGACGTTCGTGAAGGACGGCGTCGTCGGGACGGCGGAGACGCGCGGCGAGGCCCGCGAGAGGTGGTGTGGCGGGGGCGGGTACGGCGCCACGGCGGCGGGCGGCGACTGGCGGTGGTGCGGATGGGGGTGGCTGAACTGGGGTGGCGGCTGTGGCTGTTGTGGCTGCTGCGCGGCGGGCCACGGCCTGGCGTCCCGCGGCGGGTGAAGCTGCACTTGCTGCTGCTGCTGCTGCTGCCCGAAGCGCTCGCGTTCGCGTTCGCGCTCCTTGCCCTTGCCCTCGGGCTCGCGATCGACGGCCATGGCAATGTCGCGATCGAGATCCACCTCGATGCGGACGCGCAGGATCTCCTTGCCCTTCTGCGCGAAAAAGGCGCGCTCCTGGCGCTGGAAGTAGCCCGAGGTCGTTTCCATGAACGGCGGCGGCGGCGGGGGGAAGAGCGACATGAGCTCGTGGCCTGTCGGCGGGGGCGGATACGGGCGGGGCGTCATGACAGCGTTGCTCGAGAGATCGACGTCTGCGATTGGCAGCTCGTGTCAGCAACTATAGAAGCACTAGCAGGAAG